TACCAGTACTGTATTGTAGATAGAGCTGGCTCCATGTGCATCATCAGTACTACAGTTTAAGAGAAAAAAAAAATCCAATCTACTGATCTGTCCCAGTTTCTCTGATCTGTTTAGAGTAAAAATAGATCAGACTGTTATTTTGTTGAATTTATAAACCTTTCAGAAGGACTGTGGGTTTTCTTTACACCTTTAAATATAGGTTATCTTATATAAAGGTGTTGTGAAGGGTGACAAACTGCAGCACAACCTTGAATCAGAAATTCCATTCACAGTTTATCAGCACATTCGCTCTTCTACAAGAGCACAGGACACTCCCCTCACTGCAGTGTATCAGATGAACCCACTGCAGACGTGACATCTCTGAACTCCTGACAGTGCTGAAGAGGGAGACCATCAATATGTTGCAGCCACTGATTCACCAATACTGCAAATGAACCAATAACCCTGAGAGGCGACTGTTTGACCAGCTTTCTTTGCATCAGCACAGAGGCAGTCTGCTCCTCGTCTGTCCTCGTTCAGCTTAGCGTTATTAAAGCCGGCTTGTCTTTCTCCCAGGGTTTTATTTGTAGACAATGATGCCACATTAGAATTGAACTGAGGAAACCTTCAGCAGGGGACAAGGGCAGAGTCACCTTTTTTTAAATTCACTAAAGAGAAAGCCTGCCCAAAGCTGCAATTTACAGATGTCTCAGAGTGAAAACGGAGTCCTTGAGACAAGCATATCGACAGCCAATTTACACCAACAGCCCCGGCCGCATTTGTCACCCTAAAACGACAAATGCGGCATACTGATAAAAACTCTAGAAAGCGTGTGCTCGTGTAATACCCTCTGACACGAGAAAGACAGGCAGCAACACAGAAGCATGAGTTCAGCAGACAAACATGCATTCCTCAAAGACTGGCACCTTTCAATTACATCTCAAGAAGGCATCATTAAACCCAAGAAGTATGCTGGTCTGTTATAAAGTGTAACGTTTGTTATGTAGAAGCAGGATTAATGCAACTTGTAGCTTTCAGTGGTGTCAACAGCCACAATCCCACAGATGTGTAACCAGTATGCATACGTTTAAAAAACTTTTTTCAATTAGTTAAAAAAATAAAAATCTGTATTTTAGGATTTTTAAACGGTTGTGTTTACGATGTTTTGGGTTTTTTGGGCTGCATACTCTCACTAATGCTGTGATGGAAATACATATTAAAGCTGATAATTGGGGTTAATGTCAGTGGATACAGGGTCACTGCCTGGTCAAACTTTGTGATGCTTAATTGCCGCTCTGGCACCGTTGGAGTTTTTGTTTTTGTCCTTTTTATGCGTTAGCTGCAAATAAGCAGCTGAGAAATCACCAAACGTGTCACTTTAGACATTTTTGAATACTGAAAACATCCTAAACATTTAAGACTTTTTGAGAATCTGCATAAGTTAGTACTGCTAACATTATGCTGTAGACCTTGAACTATGGAGGCCTACATTTATGACATCTGCCCATATCCACTAACAGTGCTAAGCGCTCCTTCAGCTGTTCGACACTTAAACACATATCTCAGGAGTGCAATGACTGCTGACACTCTTAGTCGACGTGCACCGACTGGAACTGATGCTGAGGCTGTTGTGTTGGAGTACAACAACAAAGCGATGGAGAACAAACTTCCAATCTGGGAATTGAGGGTAAACACACATTCCTCTGGGGTATATCCTGTATAGATGTTTGCTGTTGGGCTAATGTGTCTGCTGCTAGGCTAATCAGACTTCTATAGGGGTGTGTAGGTCAGTCAGTAAACCTTCAGATGACCTCTCTTGTGGTCTCCACGCTGTAGGAGATAGCACACCATGTTACTACCCGCCATGAGTCCTGCTGGTGTGACTGGCAAGCCATACATAAACATTACAGTACTGTGCAAAAATCTTACACCTGCCATTTTTACATTATCCTATGAAAATGGCAAAGCGGATACACTGGTTTATTGAAACCTACAAATATACATGGAAACGTGCAATATGCCAAAAAACAGATTTTATACAGTTCCAACAACCTTAAGAGTCAGTATTTCATAGGACTACATTTATTCTTCAACACAACTTGAAGTCTGTTATGCAAGCGTTTCTGTAATTACTTTAAGCAGCTTTCAGGAATAGTTTTGCTGGCTTCTTGAAGGATATTCAAACCTATTCTTTGAATTCTGGCTCACTTTTGTTCAGTTCTTTGTAAACATGATCCCACACTGCTTCAGTAATGTTGTGGTCTGCGCTCTGAGGAGGCCAATCCATGACCAATAGTGTTTCCTGATAGTGTGTTTTTCTAACCAGGTGTGATTTTATTGCACTGGCAGTGTGTTTGAGTACAATGTTATGCTAAATAATGAAGGTCTTACCAGCCAGATGCTTTCTAGATGGGTTTTGATACACCCTGCAGTACTGACTGTACCCCCGCATCACCACCACCATGTTAAGATATCCCAACAGTTCTTTAGGAATCACCTTGTCGGTGCATAAAAATGCAATTTTATGTCTGTCAAACTGTTTTATCATTGGCATTTTTCATAGACTCAACTACAGAAACGGGGTTGTTTTTACAACAGGCTGCCAAAACATACAATTTAAAATTGGTTCTTTATTAAAGAACAAGTTATTTCTTATGTGTACCTATGAGTTAGGCACCTCGTATTCCTGAACGACTCATAGGACAGCGTTAAGTAGCTTTACAAACAAAAACCTCTCTCTCTAAATTCTTAGGACTGTACTGAATATGAGTGACAAGGCAGCCAACTTCCAAAGAAAAGTTCTGAAGGAAAAAACCTTCAGAAGGCCCGGAGCACTATTGCTCAACAACACTTAAAACAAAAACAAAAAAACCCATAAATGACAAGAACATCTGGCTGCTTGGAAACGAAATATAAATAAATTAAGCCTGACTCAAGTTTTTTGCACATTACTGTACATCAAAGAGCAATTTTGCAAAAAAGCAAAACCTCACCTACTTGGTTGACTCACACAATATATTAACATTTAATTTTGCTGCAATGGAACCGGAATTTTCCCACATAGGATCAATCAAACGCATCTCAACTTTGACGTCCAAATGAACAGATAAGCAATCTCAAACTATATAACTGACTTATAATCTATTTGTTTTCTCACAAAATAATGATAAACAATATGAACCGAAGGAGCTTCCATACCTCACAAAACATTATGCAAAAACAACAAGTTGCTTTGTGGCTTTTGGTCATACTAAAACTGCAACAGTGACACAAATTTCAGCTTTTAAAGTGCAAATATATTGGATTTGCTAATGCTATTAACAAACTAGCAACCACTTTTGTTTTAGCCTAAACAATGAGATATTACTTCCTAATAATCAAAAGAGCTTCCTTTAAAATGTAAGATAATGCTGTATCATTATCACATGAATAGACTACCAGCAAAGAGGCAGTTTTATATTCAGTGAAAGACTGAGAGCACAGTTCCAAGCTTCCTCACTTAAGAGTCTTTGTTCTATTATTGTGTGCTTTGAAGAGTAGCAGTCTCTCTGCAGAGTGGCTGTGTGACTGCATCCTGGATGCTATAAAAAGGCTACTCCTGGCCCGACACTGGAGAAAACAGAACAGTGCCGACAGTGAGCGGTGTTGCACTTAGTGGGTCTGCCTGTCTGTGTGTGCACTTCAAGCTGAGGACTGTTACTTTTAAGATGTGAGAGCCAGGAACTAAAAATGCTTTCCATTCCCAAAAGGTTGCACCTTCCATGTGTCCTTGCTCACTGCAGTGATGGGAGGGCGTTTGGTCTGAGACATCAGTGGAAAAAACTAGGCGAGTTATGCCAGCAGTTTTACATATATGCGGCATGTGTGACGTAAACATTCATTCAAGGGCACAAACGAATGAGAAACCAAGACTGCAGCATGTACACATCAAACTTTTGACCAAGTTTACGCTCAGAGTGTTCAATCAAGATGTGTGAGCAAACGATTCGGAGAAACTCTTTGCGAATAAAATACATTATAATGAATATGAGATCATGCAAACCTAATGGATATGCTATAGCCTCCATTACTTATAACCCCAGAAGTCTCATTAAGCAACCAGCTGGGAGGGCTGTGAGGAAGAAGGCACGCCAAGTCTCCGTGACTCAAAAGAGAAAGATACTAAAGATCTGCAAGCAGATATCAACTTGAATACACTGCTTTGAAGCTGAAACACGGGTAGCACCTCCTCTGTTTTTGTGGGGCCCAAACCCACATTACTTTTTTTTTTTTTTTAAAATCATGAGTTACCTTATGTATTATCTGATCTTGAGGACAGACATGACAAAAACAGTATAACAAGAAAGGAACAGCCTTAAACCTTGATGTTTCCTCTGTGTCAACACATAATCACAGAAGGTCACTTAAATAATTGAGACGTTTCCCATTAGATCAATCTGAGCAGTCATCTTGCTGAGCCTGTGGTAACAGTAGACAGAGGATAGAAGCGAGCATGTGAAACCCACTAGGTGCTGTAATGTGAGCCTGAGGTGGTTTCTATTGTGAGTTAATGGAGTGGAATTGTTAGTCAACCACTGCAGGCAAGAATCAGTGTTTCCAAACCGGGTATCACATAGAGGGGCCTTGGAGGAAACAAGTTAACCTCTGGGTATGACCCCTTGAAGCGAGCACAGAAGACTCTTCCTCTCTTTAGGAACAGTACACCTCTTTTCGGATCATTTGGTGACATGCATCACATTCATACGCCCCACAAAGTGATGACTTGGTGTGAAATCACGGCAATCTTGTTACCACTATTCAGTAAATAACTGGCTTCTGTGTGCATACACAAACAATAGCGAAATTAACACACAGTAAAATGGATGAGGCATGGAAAGCTAATGTTGGATGGCATGGCTATTTCCGCTAACGCGTCGTTGTCAAATAGCATGGAGTCGATTAGCGAATCAGCAGAAAAGAAAAAAAATCCAAATTAAATTTTATCTCCGCTTGTAGGTTGACAACTACTTATTTCTCTTTACCTGAATGCTGCGTGAATATATTGATGCCTGGATCGGGCACATTGACTGGAGCTGTCCTGCCTGGCGGTGTCCCGGTGCTACTGCCGGGTTCCCGGGGTCTCCTCCCGACGCCGCTCCCCCGGTTCCCCTTCCCTTGGTGTGGTTGGGGCGCGTGGGGCTGTGGTGGCTGGAGCCCGGTCGATGTACCCTCACCGACTCGGCCAACCTGCTGTCCCATCCCGGTAGTTTGGCGTGAGGACGAAGCAAGCAAACCCCCCTGCGCGCGTCTGGTTCACATTCCCCCAAAGCTGGAGCGGCCTGGCCCGAATACTCTTCCTCAATCCCTTCCCCGCCGTTCTTTCAGTGGGCTAAAGTAAAACTAGCCCGTGTTAGCTCGCCTAGCTAGCCCGTTAGCTAACGTTAGCTGCTATCAGTGAAACCCACCCACCCTGCCTTTAACAATAAAATCCCAACCCCGGCGTGTGACAGCGACTGCCTCTAATTCCTTGCTCCGGGTGGCATCCGAGTAGTAATAAAAGACACCCGGTTGGCTATATTCGGTCAAATTGAAGCTAGTTAGAATCGTTTTGCCGTTGTGCGGCCGCTGCGCGCCCCCTCTGACGCCGCCATCTTTACCGCAGAATAGAAGATGTGTGTTGCACAAGGCGGGGGGTTCGCCTGGATCCACTATCCACTGTCAGCGTGATCCTCCACCTCCCCACCTCCAACCTGGTCCCAACAGTTCCCCTGCACCCGCACCTACACCGCCGAAGGGGACATATAGAAAAACTAAAAAGTTTAGAAGTTCTTCCCCACTTTTAAAAGAATGTGATTACCAAGTTTAATTAACATATGACTAAGATGATATAGTCGATGTACTCATCAATATTAAACGGATATAGTTCCTTTATTAAAAAAAATACGGCTCAAACATCTGAAGTCAATACACGTATAACACCATACCTTTTCATATATTCTTCAGATTTCAAGAGGTTATTTAAACGTAGACACCTGTATTTGAAATTTAAACATGTAAATCAACACAATAAAGACATTATTTATTTTCCACGCGGGCTATTACATACACTTGAATAAAAGGTGTAAATAAAATACTTTCATTTTATTTAAATTCTTCAGTTTGTACATGATGCGCAAAGAATGAATCGAAACTTTGTCTACAATCCAAAGATAGACATGATTCATAAAAATGTCACGTGACACGATACCTAAGTCGATTCAATGCCAGAAGACACAACAATGAACACAAACACCACAGTAAGTAGGAAAAGCTCTGGTCCCCGAAAATAAACCTCTTATGCAAATAAACAGGATTTATGCAATTTGGCCTTTCACTGTAATAAATATTTATTTATTCATAAAATCGTAAAGGGATGAAGCTGGGTGAAAGCTTCCTTAAAATGTCTGCGTTATCTGTACATATTAACAACAAACAGTTCGCTTGTGATTATATTTGATTATTTTGGAAAAAAAATCTGGAAATCTCTCACTAAAATGTGCAGAGATTGAAAATAAACGCTTTAAAACAGTGCCACCTTGTGGTCACTTTTAGAAGAGCACATCATTCTATTGCTGGTTTAACTTTGTATGGCAGGCCTCATTCATACAAATAAACACAGTCATCATGAATTTAAATGTGTGACGACCACTGATTCAAAATAATGCAAATAGTGCCTGAAACCCATTCAAAATTAAAAGCAGAAACCAAGTCTGACTAACCTGAAATGGCTTGAACAAAATGCATAATAGTGCACTTTAAATGACAACGTTTTAGCCCTTAGTGCTGATCAAGTGTCCTTCCAACCTCAGTGTTAAAACATTTTAGCAGCCAACTGCAAGTTTTACAGAAGTAGACATTTCTGAAATCGCTGTGCAACACGGAACAAAACACATCACTTAACTATCCTCAGTGACAGTTATTGTATGTTCAAACCTGTTTAACTTAATCATTAATACATCCAC